CTACCAGCTAAGTAACTGGGTCCTTAAATCCCAGTCGTCTGAGAGACATGGAGGGAAAACACCCTTCACAATTTACTGTCACAAGATTTTAAGATAAGAGTTAAGAGTAGTGGCAGTCACCCTTTATGGTTGCCTACTGATAATGTGGTTTTGTTCTTGCCCTGCTGGCTGTAGCTGTGTCTGTTGCATTGCATATAAGGTCGGGGGGGTCCACAGTTTTATATTTTCAGTTTGCTACTCAGCCTTCAATCCCAACCTCCCTCCCCCAAATTTTTAATACCCTAATAACCACTTTTCCGTGTACACTTGATTATACTTTTTCATAACCTCTGCTTTTATCAGTTAACTATCTTCAGCCAGGGAAATGAAGCTCTGCTTCAGTGCTGTCTTTGTACTAACAAAGTACAAGGACACTTATTTCCACATTATGTGCTTTCCATACTGTGGAATTTTCCTGTATTTGGTTGACAACATTTTCTTGTCTGTACTCTGCAATAATACTGTGATGCTTGTGTTTCCTACGCCTGAATCTCTCTTTCTAGAAACTCCTCAGATTCTCCTTTATTTGGGGAGTTGGCAGGTATTATATCCTATTCAAAGGGAGCAATTTTATTCTTAACATTGTCTCAAAATGTAAAAACATTGAGCTGTTTGCCATGGATTTAACTTAAATGGGTTTTGATGGAGGGAAAAAATTTTATTATTTTCAGATAATTCAGGAATTTAAGTAAAAAACCTATGTTTTGGTAACTTTTGGAAGATCTATGTAAACTTTAAAAGCCTGTTTGTTTTTTAGTTTGTTTTGGTTGCTTTTTTTTTTTTTTTTAAATTATTTTATTTTCAGGGGCTTCTGTAGACTGTGGGATTTACAAGCCTGGCCCAGGCTTGCTTTTACAGCATCTGGTGGTGTAGCGTCAGGTAGTGTAATGTGACTTGTTTGGTCTAGCTGAAGATGTTTGCAACCTACACTTCTTCTCCTTCCCCAAAATAATGTATTTTTTTTCTCCGTCAGTATTGCTGTTTTGTAATGAGGACTGATATAACTAATCAGCCCTTTTCTGTAGGTAAGGTATGTTTGAAGTCAGGGTGATGTGGTGTTGCCTAGGTTGGTGTAGACCGAATCGTAGACACAGTTTTAGAGCATTGCATGGAAACTGTATAGGCTTAGGTGCTGCAATAGGACTTTTTGGTCTAGATTTTATATTCTAGAAGAGAATTAACAGTCTTGAGGAGAAGACTGTCGCTCAGCAATGGAGAGTTAGCATAACTGTGGCTTGTGGTAAAAATAAGTAACACTTGCCAGTTAGGCAGCTGGTACCCTGCATCTACGTTTTCCTATCCATACTGTGTGGTTTAGTGTTTTCTGCATTCAGGGCAGGCTACAGTGAAGCTTGTTTGATGAATTGCAGTTTGTCTCAGGACCATGATACTTTGAAAATAAGAGCAATGACTTATCATCGCGTAGCTTCTTTCTGATTCAGTAAGCAAGCCTTCCATTATATATGTTTCAGAAACAAGCTATTTGGGGGTAGGTGTGTGTATCCACATATACATGTGTATATATATATATATAAAAGTACAGAGTATTCTGAACTAGGTACAATGGAATCCCAGTTATACAAACAAAAAGGGAGAATCTAAGTAGTTCTGTATTCACTGTTAATGATCTGTTTTTCATATGAAAGGTTGACCCTTTCAAGGCCTTTTCTTCTGAAGTAGAGAATAGGCTGATCTGTTTCTCCCACAGCTGAAAGGGCAGGGGGAAATTTGGTTGATCTTATTTTTTTCAGCAAGACTATCACAGGGAATGAGAGGGCCAGTTGCTGAGATTGCAAAGGACTGTGCGGCCCCGGGCATCTTTAAGTCTGTGCAAAGACTGATTCTGTGTAATGCAAAAAAACCCCACAAAGTGCCTGAGTTTACGCTGAACACTGATTCAGGTCAGGAAAAATGGGATCCTTCCCATTGACTTAAAATGGATACACGAGACTTTTGTATGATGGCTCATATAAATCAAAGCAAATGGGCATTAGATTACACATTCATCATTATGATTATCACTTGAACTGCTTAGCATATGTAACCTGGTAAGCATTTGCCAGCATTGTATTTAACTGTAAAGACAGTATTAGAACATTATATTCTGAATTTTATTTAAATTATTGTGGTGGTCTAAAGCTCTACAACTTGGAGCATTTGAGGCAGAGATAAATGCTCAAGAGCATGCACATTCTGCATGGGGAATCTGTGGGGCATGTGTTTTTTTTTTTTTATGTCTGGTGATCTAGTTACTCAGCTATAAAGCATGCCTTTTACTGCAGTAAGAATCTATTTAAATTTTTAAAGTCAATATAAACCTATTTAAAATATTTTAGAAACGTAAATTTTTTCTTGCAGACAAAAGCATTCTGCCCACCCGATTCTGTGACATTGGTTTAAGCCAGTTTCCTGTTTTCAGCCTTTTAGTTGTTCTGTAATTTATGGAGTACAAATAGTTAAATGTGTCCAGTCTTAAACGTTTGTTAATTTGTTAATTTTGTTATGCTCAGGGAAATGTCTTACAGTTTGGGTTTGGGATGTGAGGCTGGGACTTTGGCCTGATGGCAGTTGTTTTAAAGGTTGAATGCGCTGTTAGAGCCTGTTGCCTCTGCTAACAAGAATTTCCCAAAGAAAGCCTCAGGAACATTTTATAGCACCCAAATAAGAGACTGAGGCGTTGTCTCTAAGCATTTAAAATCATTTTAAGATCCACTGAAGGAATCTGTTTGGTCACATGGGCAGGGGTCACTCTTCAGAACTGAAAGATCTGGAGAAACCTGACGATTTGAGGTATGGCCAGGGATTTAGTAGAGCTGCCGCACAAAGTGTGAGGCGTTGGGAAGAGGTTGGAAACATTGTGCGTTTTTGTGGGCCAGCTTTCCTCCCCTTTGCCTGTTGTAGCTCTTGAATGGTTGGAAAGATCTGAGGGTACGTGTGTGTGGAGAGAAGGGTACGGGCTGTGGTATGATAGGAGCGTACGTTCCTCTGTGGGGTTGATGGCTGGTGGGATGGCCAGTCTGGCCGGGATGATGGCATTAATGTTACCTGCTCTTGAGAGAGGGGCTGCAGGTCTCTCAGTGTCGTGAGCAAAGTACGCCGCCTGAAAGACTGATCCTGATACAGTGAAATATAGCTCACTTCATTTTATACCAGTCTTTTATGCGTAAGTAGTTCTAGGGAGGCCTGGTAAGTGAGGAGTTGACTGTTTTTTTCCTCTCCATTTGTGTTTTGAATCAGACCAGCCACTGATTTTGCTATAGGATTCTCCTGCATCTTATACAGCCGTTCCTGCTGCTTGTTGTCCTCTGCTCTCCCTGCTTTTGCATTATTGTGGGCTCTGGATCTGCGCTTGATTTAAAGTCAATAAAAATCTCTATCAGAGCTTCTGGTAGTGTTGAAAGTCTCTAATCATTTAGGGCATTTTTTTGGCATTTGAGCTTAGGGAAGCTGATCCTAAACGCGACTGTCATTTTTGAGGGGAAAAAAATCCACATATTTTCATTGTTAGTGGAAACTGTAGATGAGAATCTCAAAGAGGAACACCGAGGGGTATCCTCCGTAGGTTGTCCACAGCGTGTTTGGTCAAGAAAATAAACTGTTTGAGGAATGTGACGTGTGGTTCTTGATGCAGAAAAAAGCTTCTGTATGCCTAATACATTGGAAAACATTTGTTCAAGAGCACATCTTCGTTGCGCAAAATTTGCCTGTGTAGTTGTATTAAGGTCAGTATCCACGTAGGTTATCTTGTACATACTGAGTGTGATGCCGGAGGTCAGTTTTGGCTTGTAAATGCAATTTTAAGGAATGTTTTGTCTGGACCTGTTAAAAAGCATCTATATAAGTTGTTTGTTTAGAAACTTACTCATGCTCTTCCTGGACTTGTCTTTAGTTGCTCATTAAAAAATAACAGTTGTAAATGAAACGTTGTGTCCTGCTTGACAAGTAAAGTTTGTATAAATAATCCTTATGTGTATACATAACACCCATTGACCTATTCTTTATTAAGGAATTGGTATTAATTTTAAGGTAAATGTTTTCTGTTCTAGATGTTTAGGCAGACTTTTCTGTTCTTTCCTAAACCTTGGTGTGAAAAAATGTGTTGTCAATTTTGTGAGAATGATGACCCTTGTATTGTTGATTGAGGAGTATTAGAGTGACTTTGTGATTCAGGGAGGAATTATCAAAATGCTGTTTCATAAAAATAAATAAACTCAGCTTCTAGATCAAGTGGGTGAGTTCACATGTCCCTGTAGCTCTCTGAACACCCTGGCTCAACTCTTTACTATGAAAAAGGTCTCTCTGCTTCATCATGTGTTGCCATGTTCACTGAAAATCAGTATTCCTTTTCTGTATTATTTCTTGATAGCTTTTTCGTTAATCCTTCGGAAGTACTGGACTGTTAATGAAGTCAGAATAAAAATAATGCATTTTCAGAAAGTCTTCCGGTGTGTTATGTTTGCTTTCCATGTTTCACTTAAGCATTAATCAATTAACTGATTTTGATTCTAGTCACTTCTCAGGTTAGATCTCAGCGATACGTGGATGGATAATGTACTCTGTAAATTAGGTGTGAAACGGTTGGAGAAACGCACAAGCTGGTGCTGTGCAGAGCCAAGTCAGGTCTGGCCTGGCTTTATTTAACTTGCGTATGCTACCTTGTGAATGCAGGGCAGTCTGGCAAGGCTAACGCCAGGCTGGAGCTAACCGGCTGTCCTGGGTCTAAATTGGTCCTCTAGAAAACTGCTCAGATGTTCATTTTCTACCTGTACTTTTTGTAACTGTTTTGCTTGAGTTGTCTGTCGTCTGGGGCTATCCTGTTCTTGCCATTCTAGGTGATGAAGAGGTGACTTGTTCTCTTTTCGCTGCTCATATTGTAGGGCAGCTTTGTGATGCTCAGCCTCATTTGACGGATATTGCTGTTGCAGGTTTTGCAAGTGGAAAAGTCTTTAGCTCAGTGGTTTCCTGAAGCATACATTGCGAGGTGGTGGTGGTTTTGGGACTGGTTGGAGGCTCGCGTGGATACCCACACCCAAAGGACATCACGAGGAGGTGAGCGCCCCAGCTAGCAGCAAACTCCTGCAGTTTCTGCCCACCCCGTCAACCAGCCAGATTCATTGCACAGCACCTAGTTGTTTGTCGGGGTGAAGGAGAAAGGAAGCAGGTTACTTGGGAAGCCACTTCTCATCCTTAACATTTCTTTAAACAGATTAACTGTTAGTGGCTACCACTTTCAAATTTTTACATTCGACTCAGTGTTGCTATCAGCTGTAACTTTCTTGATGCCTTAATAAAAGTGTGTGTAGAATTACTTTTGAAGTATTGCTTGGCTGTCCTGGAATGAAGGTTTTCTTATGTTTAAACTCCTAAAATTATGAGTTGGTAGTACTGAGGCACAGGCCACCAAGTGCCACAGTTTTCCCTATAAGTAGGACCAGAGACTTTTCCAACAAAAACTTGTTACCATCTACCTTTAAGTATTCTGTCTAAAAATCAAAGTTTACAGTTTATGATACTATATAGATAGTGAAGATAACTAGTGTTTCTTCGGTGTCATATCATTTCAAAATTAGATTTATTATAGGTATATTATGATAGGCAGCGTTGCAACTCAGAGTGATTGTTCCCTGGAAGCGAACATTTGCTGAAGATGTTCAGTATGATCTGTGGTGGAACTGAACTGGATGTAATGGATTGCTGAAAGAAGTCTGCTTGCCTGCTATGTGAACAATGGAGAAAGAGAGCAAGTCATCATATATAAAGGCGCAGCTGCCTCCAGTCTTCTGGTAAAGAATCCTCAACTCCTGAGAAGCGAATCTGGCAGATAGTAGATGCCAAGGATGGAGAGCTGGGGCTTGTGTAATCTCCACTTATTTAAGATATTTCCCCAAAGTTCTTTTGCCCACTCTGAAATAATTGTATTGAATGTATCTTAACCCTAGCATTCATATATTCAGCAACCTGTAAGTTCTGCTCAAGCTGTGAGTTTTACAGGGTTTCTAATGCTCTGTTGGAGGGTGAGGTTGCTGTTATTTTTTTTTCTTTACATTTTACAAGCATTTTATATAATGATGTTCCTGTCATGCTTTTGGCCATGAATCAGCAAAGCATTTATGTGTGTGCTTTAATTGAAGCGTGGAGTTGTCTCGCTGTGCAAATGTTGAAATCAGTGAGACTATTAATTAAAATTAAGTATCTCCATAAGTGCTTTTTCTAAAAATAAGTTGCTTCATAACAGCTTTGGGCCATATTTAAGGGGGGGGAGGGGTTTGGTGTTGTCAAACTTTGAGAATAGGTATATGATTCTCGCTGAATTAATTGGTGATAACATGTAGCAGCAATACAAGTGGGCAGAATGTTCATGGGATGGAGGGTGAACTTTCTGCCTCGTAAGATGTCACCTAAGCTGCTATTTATATGTTTTTAAATAGAGAATAAATCTATTTTCATATTTCACAGAGGGTGGTGTCAAGGAAACTTTCAGGAAGAGGTATTGCTTAAGATACCCCCATAGTAAAAGCACACAAGTGATACTTCTAAGAAACAGTTGATTCATCATGGTGCTTACTGAGGGCCTGGTTACAGCTCTGTTTTTCTTCCATCAGGTAAAACCTTGCATCATTTAGCTGAAGTCAGTGCTTCTCAGTGTGAGACTTCTCTACCTAGTTGTGATGTGTGTCATTTATGCCTTCTATCTCTAGTTGAAGGCATTAAAAGTATTTCCAGGGAGTACTGAGATGTGTTTTTTTTCTGTACGTATTTGACAATTTACTACACAAATTTACTGTACAATTTACTTTACAAAATTATCTGATTTATTAATTCTCATGGCACCTTGGTGGGATAGGATACTTTACCTCCTAAGTCTGGCTCTTTACCAGACTCACTTTATCATGCTAGCCTGTTACCTTTTTTTGTTTTCTTTTAAAAATAGACTTCTTTTTACAAGCCCCAGGATTCCCCACCTGCAGCAAACCAATAAATTAATAGTGGAGGGAAGAAATCACTGAAAACACAGAAAAGAAGAATGTGTATCAAGCTGCCTGTACTGTCAGATTTCTGATTGCACCTCTGCTGTCTCTTCTGGCAACACTGATTTTTAAGTTCTTTCAGACGTGCCTTTCTGCAGGGATGTATATAAAGCACTGACCACATTCTTAGGCAGGAAATGATAAGAGACCTTAATGCACGTGATGTGAGCTGGGAAGAAGTGTTGTTTGCCTGAGGTCATACGGATCTTTGAAGTCAGATGCAGAATTAGGCTGCAGGTGTTTTCTGACCAGAAGATGCACTTCCGAGGTGCTTCAGCACGATGTGTGTTGGTAACACCATGCTGCTGTTTTTTACTGCTGCAGTTCTTAGTCTTTATCATTTATTCTTTTATTATTAGTAGAAACTGAGACTCGCACTTGCCTGTGAATATAGTTTAGATCCTTGCTGAAAATCACATGGTTGTTTCTAAAAACGGGGCTCAGAAGGTTCCAGTTTTAAGTCACTAATTAATACTAGAGGGAGCGGGGAGTTGCATTTGTTTAGTGTTGGTGCTAAAAGTTTCTGTAAAGCATTGTCACAAAGGAAAATTTACATTGTTTGGGGAAAAATACCAATGTTGCCACCTTTACTGTGCGCACATCAGTTGCTCTTTATTGCTTTTTAAATTTGATTTCATTGTAGTGTGGCGAGCTTTTCAATAAACATAGTGGTTTCATTTATATAACACTAGAATTATTGTTAATGCACAGTTTCATACTGCGAATTACGTATGTAATATTGTGTCCAGTGGGATCCTGTATCACAAAATTTGCATAGTTATAGTGCTAGTGACATCGTATCTCATACAAAGAACCTAGGGACCTGATACAATATCAGTAAAACTGTCTCATAGGTATGATTCAAACAGTTTTATTAGCAACATATGGGGTATGAAGGAGCCACAGAGGGTAGTTTTGAGTGTAAGGGTGCTGGCCTATCTTTTTCAGCCTGTAATTATATCAGTCCTCTTCTATGGCATTATTTGTTGCTGCTCTGGGATTGCTGAAAAATAACTACTAATATGGTGACACAAAGGATCAGAATAAATTATAATTGTTGACTTTACAAGAAATTCATTGGCAAAAAGGCTTACTATACTAAGCTGGGATGTCATTTCTGGTTCAGCTTCGGAGCTAAGCCACGTATAAGAAATAGTATCTCTTGGAAAGTCTTAGGGTTTTCTGGCAGCCTTATCCTGTTGTATTGAATGCTTTTGTGATCTGACAGATAGGAGGAAGAAACTTCTTTTGGCTGCATTTTAGTTTTTAATCTTAAGCTAGGAGAGTGCATTTTGCTTAATTGATACTAGGATACTGAATTTGTTTTCCCCAAATGGAACACATTATAATTAGTCATCTTCCAATAAAGAGTTGATAATTTAAATGTTTTGGCATTAAAAACTAGCAGAATGTAACCAGAAGATTACAGTAGTGCTTTGTTTAGTTGTACTTCTTAAAATCCTTATATATATATATATATATATATATATATATATATATATATACACACGCACACACATAGATGAAAACGTGATTTTTATATGTTGTAAAAATGATAAAAGTTTGGATGCTTCTGCTAATAGGCTAACCGAAGAGCCACAGCATATACATAGCTATTAGAATAAAAGTACTATTTGACTGCTTTCCTGATAACTTCCAAATGCTTATATTTTTAAAAACACTGGGCTGAGCAGCATCTCTTTGCTGAACAACCTGTGTAGAGGATTTAGGGCTATTACATAGACTTTATTCAGAATTACTTCTGAATTCTTTTTGTCTGCATTGAGGTTCAGCATGGAAAAACTAGAGTTAGGGGGACAGAACTGGTGAAAGTTAGCAGGAGACCTGTGAGGATGGGTCATCTGTGCCTCTGCCATGCTGGGTCTTCTATGTCGCTTCACTGATGTGGAAGCATATTTTCATCCATTTTTCAACATTACGTTTCCGTTGTTTCAGTGTAGATCCATACTACACTTGTACAAATTTGATCTGGAAGGGATCCTGAGAATTGTTCATCTCTTGTTTTCAGGTAGGATGAAAGTTGTTTGAATCATTCCTGACTTACGTAAATATACCTAAAAAAAAAAAAGTAAAAAAACATAATTAGGAATGTAATTGCTAAACTTCTTTCTTAGGGTTCCAGCTCTCAACTGAAAGTGGCACTACAGCTGAAGATACGTTTAAATTCTAGTATTTGCTTGCAAAACTTCCCAGGGCTCAGTGTTACTTGCTAAGATTTTCAAGGGTATACTCTGCAAGCCATCAGTGAAATACTGAAGTGTACTAGACTGAGGACAGATTCCTGCCTGTTTCCAGTGTTCTGCCATTCTCACAGAAAACTACTGGTACTTACTCCCACAGTGCAGTTTTGCATCCTGTGATGGTCTTGCATTTTAATGGTATAACCTAGATCATACTTCCTCTTTGTTATTTTCTAAAATGTGTGAAATATCTCATTGAAGTCAAGATGAATTTCTTGTCAAAGGGGAAAATTAAGACTAGTTTGATGTGACTTTTTTTTTTTTTTCCCCTTGACAAATCTTGACTGGCCAGTCCTCTAGATATGTACAAATAGATCGTTTAATCCCTTGTTTTGGTAACCTGTTGATATGGAATTAAGGATTACTTGTCTGTAATTCTTGTTTCTCCATCTTTCTTGAAGTAGGCTTTGTTTGTGCCAGCTCTTCATGTCTTTGGGAGCTTTTCTGACTTCCACAAGATTTCGAAGATATTTGCAGGTGGTTGAGGAGCTATTTCAACTAGTTTCCTTAGTATTCCATAGTAAAAGACCTCAGACTTTGCCAGTTTGAATTTATGTTGTGAAAAATATCCCTTCATCCTATTTCTGTCCTATCTCTTTGAAAGCTTGGGTTGGAAACTCTCTGACAAATTCATTGCTGTTGAGAATCTTAAGTTCTTCCGTGAGGACTGAAGTAAAAAATGTATTAAACCTTTTCATTTTGAGAAATAAGCAGAAACGTGATCTAACTTGCAGTCTGGAAGTGGACAGATACCAGCTTTTAGGTGCATAAACATCAGAATCTTCTGATCTTTGTGTCTAATGCAACTAGTCCTCTGGCTCCAAGGCAACCAGCTACAGGGTGAAATGGTCATTTTCAGTGTGTCTTGTAAAAAGTCAGCCCTTTCTCTTAGGCACCATTAAGCATAAACTTGTACTGTTTTAATGTATTTTTTGCCTTTTTAATGTAATTTTGCTTTTTATGCACTTTATTATAGTGTTTTCTCCTTTCTCATATCATTTTTTGTTTGGAGTAGAAAGTTCACACCCACTTTGCTAACGATGGTAAAGGAGTGATTTCTGAAATTAACTATTAAATAAAAAAATTATATAAACAGATCTGGACATCACATCATAGGGACTTGAGAACTGTCTCAGGAGCCTCTAGAACCACTCATGTTAATTGTTGCATATCTTGTAAATGTGTTTATTTCAAAGTACTGGAAGACTTCCAAAAACTTTCTGTATTTAAAAGCACGAAAAGGATGTCGCAGTAGATTTAGGACAAAGTAAAGTAAAGGTTAACTTGGACTTCCATCAGTGAATCTTAAAGGCTAAAAAAAACAAAGAGTGATTAATGCCAGTCACTATGGTTTCGTGATAGGAGGTTTTGTGAGGCAAAACTGATGATGTGTTTTTTTGATAGGATTGTGTGCCTGGCCTGTATTGCTATATTAAACTAACTTATTTTAAATCATTAAATCATTGCAACGCAATATTTTGATGTAAAAACTGTGATTATATGTATCTGAATCACAGAAAAGATAAAAATGTCCTGTTGCCTAAAGTGCAGCTTTTAATGGGATGAGAAAGACCTACATTTAGTGGGTCTCCAATGTGTTCGTGGCCCAGTTATGCTTAATCAGCAGTTTTGCTGGTCATTTAATTTTTGCTGCTTTATTTTTCAGGTGATGAAAAGAATGCTGGAGAGGTATATCTGGCAGTTAGTCACGTAGTTCAGTCATCAAAGTATAGTAAAACTGTAGCTGGTACAGAAAAGGTTAGGAACCCCCATTTTGAGAATCTGGGCATGATAGGAGGCGAGGCAGGGAGAGTGAGACAGTGTAGCCTCGAGATAGGTAGGCTCAGGGACACAGACTGAAATACAGGAAGTTCTGTTCAAGCAGAGGAAGAATTTTTTCACTGTGAGTGGTCAAACATTGGAACAAGTTGCCCAGAAGGACTGTGGAGTCTTTATTTAGGAGATACTCAGATCTCAGTGTGGTCCTGGGGAGCCTGCTGTGGTTGACCCTGGTCTGTGTCAGAAGGATTGGACTTGCCAACCTCTGGAGGTCCCCTCCAACCTCATTCATGCCCTGATTCTGTGACTCAGGGGGGCATGGAAGTGTGATCGTGGTGACTACAATGCCATGGCGAAAGGGCTAGCGCAATCTTTGCATATACAAAAGAGACCATGCAGTAGACAAGCATGTAAAATCTTGCTGTTAACTTGCACAGCACTGCAAGACTGCCGTTAGTCTGTTGTCTTGAAGTCTGGTGGGGTGGGGTGTTTCCTGACATGGTTAGAATGATAATGCTGGCCATCTCCTGTATGGAGGACCTTTAACAGCGGGTCAGGTCGATAGGGTCTTGGGGGAGAGAAGTCAAGGCTCACCTGGCTGCTCCACTATAGGTTTTGATCAAGTGCGAAGTAAATGAACCTACCTACTCTTGATGATCGATGAGCATAGGTGACTGTGGACTATCCATTTGCCTTTAGCTCAAGTGTAGTCTTTTTTTGCAGACATTACTAGATTAAGGAAAGCATTTGGGATAAATATTTGGGTGTTGGGTAGTATTTTGATGAAGCTTCTTAGCCTAAAAGAGTTGGGAAGCTACACCAGATGAGCTCATATCCTTTTTATTTTTCTCCCCCCAACTCTATTCAGATTTAAGAATGCTGTTGCAATTGGGAAAATTGCACTTTGTCATCTGTCCATTGGACTGAAGCAGTTAGGACGGATGGGAGAAAGTACTGCTCACCACTGAGTTCCATAGACAAGATTCCCAAACTGCTTTGTTGAAGACATCTAAAACAGCACGGCCTGGTATTTTACTGCTCCCAGTTTTGGATGCAGGTAATAATGCTTCTGATAAATAAGATGTGTTTCTTAGATGAAAAAAGGAAAGTGTATAGTTCCCTGTTGGACAGGCAGAAAACATAAAACATGGAAGTGGCTCATGGCCAATAATTCAATGTAGAGTCGGGGTCCTGGTCTCCCTGCTCTTGAAGTGTGTTGTCTCTCTTTGTGGGTTAGTGTCCATGCAGAGTATCATCAATTCCAGAGCAAATTCATTAGTTCAGCTTCATTCTGCACTTTGTGGGATGATACTCTTAATTGTTTGTGAAGTTGCTACCGTTCAGAAGATCATTAACGGATCAAGTTAAACAACTTTTCTTATCTCTCCTTGTGGCGCTTGTTTGAGCAGACAGCAGGGACCCTACAATAAGCACTTCAGTGTGTGCAATCTGGGGACTGCCCTTCTTCATCTGTCTTGGTTATGTGGTGGCACTAACTGGCCCCCTAAAGAAAAGGAGACTTGATTGCCTTTTGTGCCCAGCTCGATGGGTACAGAATTCTTGATGTAGATGTCTACTAATGATTTTTACTGTGCTTGCCCTGAAATGATGCTACAATTCACATTGTGCTTCCTGTGTATGGTAAGCCTGATAAAGTTACAAGATTTGGGAATCAAAGGAATTTTTCCTTCAAGGCAAGATTAGCAACATGCTTGCTGACTTCTCTTTTTCTCCTTTTTAATCAAAACCTGGATTCACATGGTTGCAACAGAGGTGGGAAATGTTAAGATCACGAATGAGGTATGTCTGTTAACAATTGTGCTGTACTTGTAATTCAAGTAGACCAGCTTCATACGGCTGTACAGGAGTGACAGACCTAAGAGACGGGTGGCCCCTACAATGAAATAGGAAGAGGTGACCAAAAATGTTTGAATATTCAGGTATATATTTCCTATTTACCATCCCACCTCCTTCCCAAAAAATTAAAATGTGTAGAATTCCACTGTTCAAACTAATGGTAGTCAACAGTGAATTGAGACTGTATTTTATACTTCTGGTGGGAAAAATTAGTTTTTCTCACACTGAGAATTAATAAATTTGGTTGTACCTTCAAATGTAAAAGATACTTATTTATGCATTAAAACCAAAATGAAAATCTGATCGCTTTTCTGTGAATTCTGCATGTAGTGGACATACCAGTCAGTATTTTAAGGGAGGGATCCTCTCCTCCCCAGTGTCCCTGACATTTAAACCAGCTGGGATTGCCTCTCTTAAGGGAAAACTTTGTACTTTGTTGTTACAGCCTCTGTGCATGTGAAGCGGCTCTAAGCCTGGGCTGTTCAAGGCAACAAGTTGGTGTGACACAGTGTGTGTCGGTGCTGTTCCTTCTCCTTTCCCATTTCTCTTCCAATAATTTCTGAGCTCATCAGGCAACTTGTACTAAATTTGACAGAAGAATAACAAGCTTAAAGGTTTTAAGCTCCTATGTGTTAAATTAAAATATGTGTTCAGGTAGCGAAAGACAATATTATGGGCTGCAATGAGGGAAGGGCTGCTGTGTAAGCTCTTAGAAGACAGCAGAGAAATCAAGTATTTCTTTAGACTGTGTTACTTATATTGACACACATTTCTTCTGGTGTCCTAATTGATTTGTATATTCAACTCTGAGGCATCAGAACTGTGCTAGCACTGTAATTGTATGTCATAGTACCATTATCTGAGATCTCCATAGCATGGAGATTGTTTGAACTTTTACAGTGCATATATTCTAACGAAGCTTTTATTGGCTTGTTTGATGCTTGTGATAGTCTTTTCCTCCCTCATCTTGCCATTTCCTTACAGTAGTTATTTTTGTTCCTAGCACCTAGGTTTTACAGGGAATTTTTATTTTTATATTCTAGAAAGTGTCTTGTTAAGAAGCTGTTTTTCAGCTGCTTTTTATCGTAAAGATGCGGGCTTTTTCCTATGGTTCTTTGCTTAGTCTCCTTAATAATAATAAAAAAGAATGCTATAAAACTATCAGTTGAGTAGTCAGGAGTCTTTAGGGAATAAGTAAATTGTATAAGAACAGCTTTTCTATTTTAAAATTTTGTGGGGTGCAATCAATTAACGGTATGTCATTCTCAGTGTAATGTAGGGAAGACTTGCCTAATTTGATTTCTTTCAGCGGCAGCCAGTGAGATAGCAAAGCCATATGAAAAAATTGTTCAAGAAGTAGAGTTTTGGAAAGCCTAGTTCTTTAGTGCGTTTTCCTGTAGGTATTGCCAAAGAGTGGAAACACTGAAGAAAAGCTTTCATGTACTACAGTATTTGCAATTTGTGGGTGGTATTACTGTCCATGATGGTTGGAGAAGGTATTGTGTCCAGAGCTTGGGCATGTAGGTGCATCTCTTCCAGGCAGCTGGTACACATGAGATTGAGGAAAGGAGTTGAAAACATAAATCATGACTTACGATAGGAAATAACAGACTTTCAGTTATTCACATGAGATCAGATGCCAAGGACTATGTATGTTTAAGTTCCAAATTAATTTCTGATTAATGCTTTATTTGTCTGTGTCCTAAATTCTGCCATGTTTCACATTTAATTAAATTTCTGATACAGGAGTAAACAACAAACTCCAGGCCCTTTCCTTCTTCCACAGATCGCTTACAACCACCATGATGCTTTCTCCATTAAGGGGTTTTGCCAGACAGTAAAGACTTGTAATGCCTCTGAGGCTGCTTCTTGCACAGACAGACGAGCAGGGCCCACAGTAGCCTCGTGAGTTGGGCAGAGATGAAAGTCACATAAACTTAAAGTAGTGTTGGCTTCTGGTATGTACCAGCAGGTGGGAGAGGAGAGGTAGCTGGGGAGAAGCAGCCTGACGTAGGAAGAACAGCATCTCTCTCACCTCTGATGCAACCCCCAAGTGAGTGAACTTGATGTGATGGGGGGAAAAAAAAGAAATGCTAATTGACACAAGTATTACACGTTGTGTATTTTTTTTACCATAAACTGTAAAAATTGTGTATGTTGTGAAGACAGAACCATGATTGACATTTTACAGGATAAGATTTCCAAAAGTTTTTGAGAGTCTTTGCTGAACTGCCATTTTCAGAAACGATTTAAACAGGTTCCCAAGTCTCACTGTAACTCCATGAGACTTTCAGCTTCTCTTTCTGAAAATGTGGCTCCAAGTTACTTCGGAGTTTTTTCTAAAATACTTTCATTGTGCTCAATTTCATATGGTGTAGGACATAGGGAAGGGACATGCACTGAAATACTACTAGCCCCCACAAAGCAATAGTGAGTCCAAGGGCAGGTGGGGTGGAGATTAGATGGAGACCACCAGTGCCCAACTTCCAGTTTCTCATTTATTTGCATCAGGCACACACTGGGTAGGTAAGCCCAACCTGTCCATCTGTAACTCATTTCAAGCTTCAGTGTGTAGTTAAGTGGCTTCATAAATGTTAGTGATTTTCCACAGGTGGGCTTTGATATGCAAGTGTCGTTGTGAAGTGTAAAAGAAAATTTAGGGTGTGTCTCAGCTCCTTTGCTGCACTGTGGTGCTAGTAAGAATGCAAGACAGCATGCAGGTTGCAAAATTACAAAGGTGACAGTTGTGTTCTTGACTACTCAGGTCTAGAAGGACGAGTACCTCCAAGGACTGTCCTCTCCTGTGGACTTCTCCCAGCTACCTCTCTCCTACACAGTCCCTTTCCATTGATCTTCTGAGCATTCAGTTTGTCTCCATCCCCTCTGGAAAAGTGGTGGGATGAAGCTGGAGTGCTGATGACCAGCTGGGTTGTGGGGTGCATCCATGCGCTGTATCTGATGCATTTGTATTGTTTGAAGGCAGCTCCTTCTGACTTTGTACGTTTTTCTTGTGTCGTCAATTGTCCTTTTCACAAAGGACGTGCAACTATGCTTTAAATTGAATGCATTTCATTTTTAACAAGGCCACTTTTCAGAAGTAAGAAGCCTAATGGAAGCCTAGCTGATGAAGTAAGAATTTTTTGAAATTACTGGAGGCTTAAAATGCTAAAGCTTAATTTAAAACCAGGAAAAATTCCAAAGTCTTCCTTTGCTCTTTTAGGGTGTTACCGCTAGAAGCTTGGTTTTTTTGTTTGTTTGTTTTGTTCTGTTTTTCTGAATTATGAAAACGTAGTGCTTTAAAATCTGAGACCTATGTCTTAGTGCAAAGCAAAATGATATCCTGTGTTCAAATGGTAGCAGCAGTGAGTACAGACAGTTTTGAATCATGTGGTTACTGCTGTGAAGGTGCTTCAGAGACTGAAACTAGAACCCCTTCTAGCACTTCCATCTGCATACCTGTAATTCACATCATCTTTAAAAAGGACTTTACCACACGCTTGCAAAGCGTGGATCGAAAGCGTGTGTATCAAATGTCATGCTGCACTTTGGTCTGGAGGTGGCTGAGGTGTGGGGAAGATTGCTGTGTTTTTCAGAGGTGTAGCATGGGCTTTTCCCATGCAGAAGAAAAGGCAATTGCAGAACATGAATTGGTGCTTCGTATGTACTTGTATAAGTTTATTTGTAGGCTGATATGTTCTTGTCATTTTTTTTTTTTCCTCTGACAACTTGAATTTGATTATTATCTACTGGAAATTTTGCAGGATTCTGGTAAATAGTTAATAATTATTTTTTAGGCGATTTCCAGTATGTAATCTCATTAACTCACTGTTTCAGCACTCTTTAACAGTGGTGGGCTTTTTTTTTTTTTTTGAGACAAACCAGGGCTAGTTACTCAGATGCTTGCTAGGAAACAACAGCTGCATAGGTGCTGGCTAGGTCCTGCAAGTGTGCTGCCAGTTCATCTGAGCCAACATTCTCGGTGTAGCCAGGATAGTTTTTGCAGAAGTAAATTTTAAAATAACAATTTTCTGTTGTGTTTTTTTGGTTGCTTCTGTTTTTTAATTTTTCATTAATAATATAAACATCTAGAAGGGCAGTTCTAAGCATGTCTTAGATGTGTGTGGGGGCACAGTTACAAAGAATTTAAAAATCTCACTAAGGATGGTCTCCAAGTATTCTAAATATGGACTTTACAAATAT